CCAGAAGGGGGGACCCGCCATTTTTAAAACCCCGCTGGTTCGAACCCCGTGCAGCGCGGCTACACGGGGCACGAACTAGGTAGTTCGAACTAGGCTTCCTAGTTTGAACTACCGTTACTCCTCATGAGGAGTAACGGTAGTTACTTCTCGTTAAATACAAGGCCTCATGAGGAGCAACGGTAGTTCGAACTAGGAAGCCTAGTTCGAACTACCTAGTTCGTGCCCCGTGTAGCCGCGCTGCACGGGGTTCGAATGAGCGGGGTTTTAAAAATGGCGGCTCCCCGCTTATGCAAATGAAGCCTGGGAAATTCAAATCCCGGGCTTCATTTTCAAGTGCGGTATGCCTACATTACCCTCCTAGTTCGAACTAGCGGGGTAGTGTAGACATACCCTAAAAGAGTGTCACAAAGAGGAGGGAAAAAATGATTCTCGTTGGCCTCTGATTATAGGACAAGAAGCACTGGGCTTAAACTGCAGCAAGGGAGGTTAAATACTGGAATAAATTACCCAGAGAAGTTGTAGAATCTCCATCTCTGAAGAGGAGGTTGGACAGACACCTGTCAGGGATAATGTAGATGGTGCTTGGTCCTGCCATAAGACTCAATGACCTCTTAAGATCCCTTCCAGTTCTAATGTTCTATGAATCTATGATTTAGCTTCTGAATCTACCCCATTGATGAAGAACTGGGTTTCTGAATGTGCAGCTCTTCTATGATCCCTTGCTGAATAGGGGATTGTCCTCAAAGAGACATTTGCTCTCTGAGGGCTCAGGATTGCTAAGAGCAGAACCACATTGTCTTGGGGGAGGGAGAAATTGGGAAACTTGGCACCTGGCAGTGCTGTACTTGGAGGGGAAGTGAAGTCCCCCCATACCCTGGCAAGAGCCCAACAATTCACCCTATCGCTACTCCAGCAGGCCAAGGCAGGAGGCTGAGGAGCTCTCCTTCCCTGCATTGATCACTGTTTGAGGGATGAAACCCAGACTTCCCCTCCTTCCCTAGGCTACCTTCAGGCCCCAGGCTCACCCTTCTCAGAGCTGTTGCTCCTACAGGAGAAGAAGAGGTCAGAGCAGCGTGTGAGAGCATGTGTGGCTGGGACTGGAATGAGGGTGCCATAAGTGTGCAATCGAGGAAGTAGGGGAACTTCAACTGCGCCAAACCATAACCTGTTTCTACCCCTCTCACACCCACTTCCAAATGTGCTCCCATGATTTCATCTCAATTTCTGCTCTGTTCCTGCATTGTCTGCCCAGCTCCTCAACCTGCAGGGTCCCTGTCAATGCCCGTCTCTCTGTGGGAAGGGCTGGCAAGGGATGATGGCCCTCAGAAGGAACACTTGGTCCAAATGGGAAGGGCGGTAATGCTTAGCAGGCCTGAGGCAGTGTGTGGAGGGAGTGCAATGTCCGAGCACAGGCAGTGCCTGTTCACTGCACCTGGCCGACCCCTTAGCAAAGAGAAGGTGTTGGGCTGTTTCCTACGGGGCCTGTGTGTTCTGTTCTGTGAGCTTCCAGTCCCATCTGCCAGGGTAATGGGCTCGTCTGTGTGTCACTGACATGTCTGGGCATCACCCAAGTAGACAGAGTTAAGGTGCATTGTGGGAGTGGCAGGGGATTTAAATCCCCATTTTCTGGTCTTCACAAGTTTGTGTGTAGCTGAACTCGATGTTCTGGAAGGGCACAAGGACAATGGAGCAACCTCTGCTCTTTGGCTTGGCCCAGTTGAAGCCCTCCTGCTTTAACAGAGTTTGGGGCAGTTAATAGAGACGTAACGTGACCTCCCTACGTCTGGGTGACAGTTCCCTGCTTACACATCTCATACACTAGCCACCTTAGCAACACTCCACTGGGGGCTCGTGTTCAACTGGTTAGTCACCGTCACCCCCAAGTCCCTTTCACAGTCACATCTCTCCAGGATAAAGGTCCTCCATCTGGCAAGTGGGACCTGCGTTCTTTCTCGTTAAATACAAGGCCTTACATTTAACTGTATTAAAAGACACGTTGTTCAAATTAGACCTCTTTACCAAGAGATCCAGTTGCTACCAATTTTAATGTCATCAGCAGATGTAAGGAGCAATGATTTTATCTTGCCTTCTAGATCATCAATAAAGACACTGCTTACACTGGGGCCTCAACAGAAACCCACCTCTTAACAAATGCCCAGAAGTTCCTCAGGTCAAATTTGGTGGGACACTTGGAAATGGGCAAGCCCAAGATGGCTATGCAGACCGGAATGCAAAGTTAGTCTGAGTCCACACCTCTTAATGTCTATGGAACGAAGTTTGAAGACTTCAAACTTAATATTTAACTTTAACCAGAAGATTTGCCTTTATAGCTTATCTATAATTCCTAACAAATACCACGATATTTTCCTTACCACAAAAATAACGGTGCAATTAGAATTTTGTTTCTCAAGTTGAGCAGAAATACCCAGGGTGGTGGTGTCCTCCAGCATCTTCTTATAGCTGCATTTATGGCAAGTGATGAGATAGCTCCTTTCTACCTGGTACAGCTAGGGAAAAAATGACTAGTTACAAGTGTTTCTGTCCATCCAGAGAGACTCGGCCCTACACGTAACACTCAGACATGTCTTTGATCTAGGTGGTGGTGGTGTTTCAATCTCCATCTTCCCAGAAAATCTTCCCAGTCACGATCAAAGTGGTTTCTGTCTTACACTGGCTTTTGAAAGTAGAGCCAGGCTATCTGTTAAAAATAATGACCACCTCAATTCTAAGCGCACAGGAATTTCCCAGCCTGCCCCACACTGGCAACTCTGTTCCCACAAGGAAGTCTCCTGGGGAGTTGGCATCTTAACACAAATTATGTTTGCTTTCTTATGCTCTACAACAGCGTTTCACAAACTGTGGGTCCCGACACCTTGAGAGGTTGCGAGCAACTTTGGTGGTGGTGGGGGGGGTGGTATCGCAGACAACTTAGAAGGGGGTTGCAGCAACTTAGAGGGGGGTCGCGGTATTACAAGTTTGAGAACTCCTGCGTTAATAGGTTAAGTGACTATACTGTTACATCCCTACCACTGAAGGCTGTATTTAAGGGAATGAATTTACAAAAGTCTGTTAGTTTTCGTTTTAATGAGTAAAAAAAAATTGAACAGGACTGAACAGAGAAAGATGGATGGAAAAGGAAGGTGACAGGGAGAATGCACATATGCCTGTTGTGTGCTGGCTGAGAAGAGCTGCTAGTCCATGGGCCAGCATCCTCTGCCTACTGCCTTTTTTCCTGCACCCTTTCAAAGGGCCTCTTTAAGGGTATGTCAGATGAAGATCAAAGCTGTTGCTGTCAATCTTCCAGGGTTTGAATTAGTGGTCGAGTTAAGACGACTAGTTCAAAGTGAGAGGAGTCCTCTGGCCGATGCCTGTAACCCTTATTTCATGAGGAGTAAGGGAAGTTGAAGGAAGAACACTCTTGTTATTTCAAAATAACAACCCCTCCATTTACAAGGAATAACGCCTATTTTGAAATTGGGTTAGTGTGGATGCTCAGCTGCTATTTTGAAATAACGACTCCCCAGAGTCATTCAAAGTAATTACTCTCCAGGGCTTCCTGGGGCTCTAAATTGAGGTAGCGCATCCACATTAAGGGAGCCTGCCTGGGACTAATTTTGAGGTTTCCCTCTAGTGTGGACACGCTATTTCGAAATAGTTATTTTGGGAGTTGTCATTTTGAAATAACCTGGTAGTGCAGACATAGCCAAAGATAGCACCTTTGTAAAACAAGATGCACTATGTAGGGACAGCCAATAGCCCTTTGATATATGGGTAAGACCCTAAATCATGGTCTCTGGTTAAGCTTTCCCCCAGAGGCACTGCTGTCCAGTCAGAGCAGAGACACAAGGCCTAGCAGAAGCCATAACAGACAATAGATGGCTCTGGGAAAGCAGGATGAACATAACAAACAACCTTGTTTATCACAAATGAAATAAGCCACCAGTATAACACCAAATGGAGAGAAATAGTTGGCTATCATTATCATGAGGTTCACCCCCCTCCCCAAGGTTATGGCTCTCTAAGGTGCCTCACAGTTTGTCTGGGAAGAGGGCAGACAGCTGCTTCCCAAGGCCAACCACAGATTCAGGAAAAGGCCTAACACATCACTATGAAATGATACCCCTTCTCCCTAACAATTCAAGCTCACAGGCACACCAGAATAAACAATTGCTTTGTTGTGTGTCGTACAGTGTTTCTTTTTTGTTTTATACCCAGGAAAGCACCTATGAACCACACCTGTTGGAAAGAAGCTGTCATCGCTCTTGTAAATCCCAATTGGAATATAGCTATGCCTCATAAGGCAATCCTTGGGAGGAGGGTAAGGGGGCATATACTTGTTTTTAGCAATTGTGTTAACCTGAGCCATGGGCAAAGCTACTATGTAATCTTCTAGGCTATTGGCTTATTGTGCCTATTATGCTTTGCTGCTGGAACCTATCCAGGGGCTTGGGAACTCCTACCCTATCACTTCTCGCCACCCAACAGCTCCCTATAGAGTTGATTGTAATTATTTGTTTGGTAGTGTTTGCTGAGCCCAACTGGCAAGGTGGCACTCTGCCAGCGCTGTGCGTAATAAACCCTCCCGCTTCAATCTACATGGTGCCTATATTTTGGTTTCCAACACACTAAGACCATTAAGTGTCATTCAAAACACCCACAGGAGGGTTCCCTGACCTGATGCCTATTTAACTTTCCTAAAACCTGGTTTGCGGCCCACCACAGCACACTTCGTGCATCTGAACAGACATGCATCCTGGATATCAAGGCCTGGGTCTATGGGGAGCATTTCCTGAGGAAGAGAGACAGCAGCAGGCTGTGAGGGAGGAGGGAGTAAAGGAGAAGGGGAACTTTGGGAGCCTCGTTATTTGCCAGAGGAAGCTTCCTGGCTTCACAGAAAGGCCGGGGAGTTCACAGGAACAAACGGGAACGTGTGGCAGGTCTCACTGTAATTAGGGGCGTAGCGCTGCAGTCTGCTGGGGAAACTGAAGAGACAGGGATCAAGAGGCAGAGAAAGGGAAACTTCAGGAGAATTCAGACAAACATCCATACTTCAGGTATTTGTCTAAATTGAGCCACTAGCCTTTTTGATGATCAGTAATAAGAAAATACTTCAGCATTAATACCTGTCTCACAGGAACAGAGAATGGGAAAGGTCCTCTTGGATCATTGAGCACAGTCCCCTGCTATCACAGACAGCTGTATCCTGTAATCCTGGCAGGGCCGGCTCTAGGCACCAGCAAACCGAGTACGTGCTTGAGGTGGCACATTGCCAGGGGCGGCATTCTGCCCACCCCTGAGAGACACTGGCCGGAGAACTCCTGAACTCCTAACCCTTACCGCCTGACGCGGGCCTCCCTGTGGCTGCCCAAGGCAATGGGTGGGGGGGCGGAGCTGGCGGCCTGCAAGGAGCGAGCCACCCTCTGCAGGCAGGGTGCACAGGGCAAGTTGTGCTCACAACCCTGCCATGATTGGCTGAGGCACCATGACATCACTTCAGTGCTGGTTGGAGGGATGGGAGAGCTGCAGCATTGGTGGGGCCGGGTAGAAGGAAGGCCCTGCCTGGGCCAGGATGATTCAAGCAGAGGCACCTAGGCTAGGGGGAGGGAAGAGCTACTTTGCAGCCCGATCTGGTTGGTCTGAGGCCGAGGAACCGCTGGAGGGGGCCTCGCTTGCCCCGGCTCAGAGATTTGGAGGTGGGAGGGGGAGCGGCGAGGGAGAGAGGTGTCTCTGGCCTTGCCCTTTATGTTTCCTGGATGTGTCCGCGCGCATCCCCAGGGGGACCCGTGCCACTTTCACCCCTCCCTCAGGGTGCGCCAACATTTCCACGCGTGCTGGGGAGAGGGGACATGAGGGTTTGGCGGGGAGAGGGAAAGGAGTTGGAGTTCGGTCAATGGAGGGAAGTGGGAGAGGGGAGCGGACTGGGATTGGTGGGCAGGAAAATCAGGTTTGGCTGGGAGGGAAGAGAGAGGGTGGATCAGGTGGGGGGACAGAAAGGGGGCAGACTGCATCTGGTCACTGAGGGGTCGAGTTTGCCTGGGAGGGGAGAGGAGGTGGAAACTGGGTTCGGTGAGTGGGTGGGTGGGGTTGGGATGTGTGGGGTCGGGGATGTGTGTAGAGGGGAGACAAGATGTAGGCTGGGTTTGGCTGTAGGGCGTGGTGGGAGTCAAACAGCTACAAGGTGAAAGGGGTGCTTTCCTCCTCAGTGCCTGTCCTGCAGCACTGGGAAG